ACACACACACACACACACACACACACACACACACACACACACACGTGGACAAAATTGTTACCACTCGTTTTATGAAAGAAAAACCCACAATAGTCACATAAATAACTAGAATCTGACACAAATAATAAATAAAAAAATCTATAAAAATGAACAAATCAAAATCAGACATTGTTTTTCAACCATGCTTCAACAGAATAAAAAAATTCATGAAACAGGCCTGACAGGAAAAAATGGTAATCTTTTGTGTCCACTAAATAGAATCACAGGTGTCTACAATATTGTAATCAGTCAGTGGATCTGTATATAGAGCTACAGATACTCACTGTGCTGTTTGGTGACATGGTGTGGACCACACTCAACATGGACCAGAGGAAGTGAAGGAAAGAGTTGTCTCAGGAGATTAGAAAAAAAATTATAGACAAGCATGTTAAAGGTAAAGGTTATAAGACAARYATGTTAAAGGYAAAGRTTATAAGACAAGCATGTTAAAGGTAAAGGTTATAAGACCATCTCCAAGAAACTTGATGTTCCTGTGACTACAGCTGCACATATTATTCAGAGATTTAAGATCCATGGGGCTGTAGCCAACCTCACTAGACGTGGCTACAGGAGGAAAATTGATGACAAATCAAACAGACATATAATGTGAATGGTAACAAAAGAAACCAGAAAAACCTCTAAAGATATTAAAGGTGAACTTCAAACTCAAGGAACATCAGTGTCAGATCATAGCATCAGTCGTTTGAGCCAAAGGGGACTTCATGAGAGACGACTAAGGAGGACACCAAATCATAAAAAACCCGACTGGAATTTGCCAAACTACATGTTAATAAGCCACAAAGCTTCTGGGCAAATGTCCTATGGACAGATGAGATCAATTTGAACTTTTTGGCAAGACACATCAGCTCCATGTTCACAGAGGGGAAAATGAAGCATATGAAGAACAGAACACTGTCCCTACTGTGAGACATGGAGGAGGCTCTGTTATGTTCGGGGGCTGCTTTGCTACATCTGACACAGGGGGTCTTGAATCTGTGCAGGGTACGATGAAATCGCAAGACTATCAAGGATTCTAGAGAGAAATCTGCTGTCCAGTGTCAGAAAGCTTGGTGTCAGTAGTAGGTCGTGGGTCTTACAACAGGATAATGACCCAAAACACAGCTAAAACACCCAACAATGGCTGAGGAGCTGAAACATGCAGTCAAACGGCTCCCTTCATACCTGAAACAACTGGAGCAGTTTGATGAGGAGTGGGCCAAAATACCAAAATACAGGAATTGTTAGATTGCAGGGATCACCTTAAAAGGTTGTCCAACAAAATATTAAATTAAAGGTACCAACATTTCTGCTCAGGCATGTTTCTTGAGTTTTATGTTCTTTAATTATGTTGAAACATGGTTGAAAAGCAATGTCTAACTTTCATATGTTCATTTTCATAGATTTTTTTATTTTTTTTATAACTTTTGTCAGATTCTATTAATTTCTGTGACCATTGTGGGTTTATCTTATATTGAATGATGGGTATCAACAATTTAGTCCACGTGTGTATACACACAATACACAAGAAAAACAAAAACTAAAAGCTAATCTGAGACCTAAATACTAAGAGGTGCTTTGAGTATTTTTTCCAGGTAAAAAATAAATAAATAAACATGAAGTAGAGCTGGGCGGTATGACCCAAATTTTATATCACGGCATTTTCAACATTTACACCGGTTTCACGGTATTTGACGGTATTTTTTTCCATCACAGCTCAGCTGATAATAAAATGTACAAATGTTGCTTATTGACTTTTTTCTTTTACTGTACCTCTGTCTGTGTCACTGTTTCCCTCCTCTTCTACGTCTTTTCTTCTTTGTCTGGTTGTAGACAGTAATCATGCATTTTGGTCCGATCGTGAGGTGTTGAGAAAAGATCATTATCAGGTCTATCGTTGTGTGTTAATAAAACTTAAAAGGACGACTCACCTTGCACACAGTCAACTCGGCTCTACTACAAAATTACTTCCCCCAGCTTTTCACAATAGAAGCATGCTAAAGTCTCCATCAGCATAACATCTCTATTATAACGTCGCACGTTACATCTAACCGTGCACATTAACGTCTCCATGTGTTAGCCTAGCGCATTACATCTAACCGTGCACATTAACGTCTCCATGTGTTAGCCTAGCGCATTACATCTAACCGTGCACATTAACGTCTCCATGTGTTAGCCTAGCGCATTACATCTAACCGTGCACATCACTGAAGAGTTGTTTACTACATTCAGCCATGGTGAAAACGGGATGTGTTTTTTTAACTTCAGTCACTATATACAGCTGAAACACCACCCGCCCCCAGTTCCTCCAACAAGCTGCTCAACAAGAACATTAGCATGCTAATGCACATAGTGGTGCTGCGAGGAAAAGTGTCCACCGGGAAACAGTTCACTGGCGGCCGTAACGAAACATTTCAAACGTTTTCAGGGTATTTAAACCGGTATGTCCTGTATTTAGAAAATTCGTATCATAACAAAAATTAAAAACGGTTTTCGGTACAAAACGGTTATACCGCCCAGCACTAACATGAAGGGCCTCATTGGTGGGCCAGATGGAAGTTACCAGGCCTGCGGGCCTCCAGTTGCCTGTCCCTGCTTTAGAGCGTATCAACATGTAGTTGAATTTAAAGTAAATGGTTGTTACATTAAGTCAGGTGTTTCTGTATACTTTTAAACTGATCATATTTCCAGTACCATCTGTTTACAGTTGTGTTACATCTAAATATATGAAGCTGATGAGTAGCTGAGTAGCTGCGCATCATGCTCAGCTATTCAGCTTTCTCTGGCTCTGACACTCTCCATCTGTTTTTGAACCCACTTTCATTCCGCAGTATGGCCGAGCTGGCCACTCTATTTAAGGCTCCGAAAATGCTGGCTCATCTTTCACAAACATTGATTAGCCACAGGGAGGCTGAGATAATTAGTTTCCAGCTCAGCAGCGCTACACACAATGAGATGTTTGTTGAGTGTGTTGCACTGATGTAGCATGTTCGGGCGCTGGCAGTACCTGAGGGGCAGCCCAGGTTCTCGCAGTGTATGAAGCCGATCGTTAGTGATTGCTGTTACATTATTCACAGCATGTGGGCTATCCCACGAGAATGCAGCTGCTATTTTTACACCCCGTACAATGCTTTCTCACGCATAAATTATGCCATTAATTTTTAATGTCTGATGAAGCATCACACTGTAAATGCTCCTATTTCTTATGTGTGCCCTGTTTTGTTGCACAGAATGGCGAAGTCAGCCCAAGCAAAATAACAAAGCAGTAATTTGAAGTTGAAGGAAAAAAAAATCACAATAGATGTGAAAATGTTTTAAAGCTTTGGAGTGATTTTTCATATTCATTAACTCTGCTTTGCAGTGGTGTTAACAACTTGGCAGCTCTGATATTCCCCAGAGTGCTTCTATTCTTGTGGACGTCAGAGCCTCGACTGTATTTCTTAAGAAAGAAATCAATGAAAATGACACGAACATTTCGGTGTCAGGTGTTTTTTGGAGTTCGTTTACTGTAGGACCATTTTAGCTGTGTTTTGTTTTACATCTGTGCTATCCACTATATTTTTTGTATCTGTTTATCTAAATGGCGCTGAACATGTTTTATGTTTCAGATACATCTACGTCCCATTGGGCGGCTCACGACACGGCCCCCTTTGCAAAGTCTTATCCACGGGCCTCGCCTTTGGATTTGTCTGCTTCTGGCACGGCGGTCACGACTACTTACGGTACTGGGCTCTGATGAACTGGGCCGGAGTTCTGGCTGAAAATGGACTGTCGTCCCTCTTTGCCTCATCCCGCGTTCGCTCCGTAGTTGTAAGTTTGAAATTAAAGCATTTAAGTCCAACAGTGCAGAAACAAGGAGATTAAAATTCCCCAGCTATTTAGGATGTGAGGGAATCATTATCTTTCTTGTAGCCAGATGTATAAGTAATGTAAGTTGTATAATCGGATTTAATAGGAGGTTGTGTGCTGATTAGCTACACAAAGTACTGACAGCAGACAAACCCATTGGGTCCCTTCTAATCGCCACGTGCAATAAATGCTTAACATTAATGCGAGGAGTTAATTTTTTTTTTTTGGCTTCTTCCTTTGGGAGATTTGTTCGTTCTCAAAATAGTACTAGAGTCTGATGGCATACTGTGTAATGCTCCTAGTTTATGGCCATGTAGTTCATTAGTTGCAGCGTCTGTGTACTCTCTGGGTTTGACAAAGACAATTCCTTGCAGTTTTGCTTATTTATTTACTCATTTCCCAGGAGCAGAATTTCTCCACGGCAATGCAAAGGCGCCTCATCGCCCTCCTCTCTGCCTTCTCAACTGCCATGCTCATACTGTCTAATCTGGTGTTCCTTGGTGGTATACATGTTGGCAGAATCTTCTGGAAGCGTGTCTTTGTTCAAGGTAAAACTGTCCTTCACAAGAATTGTACCTGGGCTTGTTTTTTTTTGGGCTGGATTTTTCCATCCAGCATTTAAGTTTTTAATTGTAAATTATTTGTAGTTGCAGTGTTTAACTCCATTAAGAGAGGTCAACTATAATCTACGTGTGAATAAAATCATACTTATCATATAATAAATGATTTAAAATATTTGTTCTTTAGTATGTCTAATATTAGCATCCATGCAGACGCACTAAATAACAGGGGCTTATTCTGTGCATCTGCATGGATAAATAAGACCTGAAACAATTAGGACCATGAATGTTGGAGAGGCACATCTGCTTCATGTTTGTGCCAATCCCTGTTTGGCTCCCTGTTGCTTCATTTGGCTCATTTGGTACCTAAAGCAAGATGGCAGGCGCTCCTGCAGCCTGTCCACTTATGATAAGCAGTCTGATGTGCTCTCACTGTTGGGCTGGGAGCAACTTCGTTTAGATTTTAACCTTTATGGGCACAAAATAAAATAATAGTATGGTAATGATAACTAGAGAATCTGCAAAAATGCACCATGAGTTGCTTAAAGTGGGCGTATCATGCTTTTAAATCCTTCTTTTTCACATTTAAATCAGTATAAAACATGGAACTGCAATGGTTTGATCTGAATTCCTTCTTGTAGTAACTTTACCAGCCCCTCTTTCACCTCTTTTCTGAGGTGTCCCTCAAAGCAGCTGGTTTTGGGACTGTGTCTTTAAATCTAATTGAGGCGGTTCATTCCCCATCCCCCTTCAGCTTCCAGACCGTTTGAGAGAAGGGTTTGTGACTATTTTGTGGTGCAGAAACATTTTATTTACAAATTAATTAAAAGATGTCAACAAGGGAGGACTTGTCCATCTAGCCTTACATGTTGGAGCCAGAGCCTGACTCAGAGCAAGAGATTGAAGACAAAATCGTAGTTGGTAAGTCCAGACCTTATTTGGCAGTTCCATCACAGTTGATTTGATGTTATAGTTCAGAAAATGTCATAGAGAATAGAAAAAAATGAACAGGTAAAGATATCCACACAGCACTGGGAGAGATAGAATTAAAATGTTCTGCACTCCTAGACTCCAACTACACAACAAAATACATTTAATGGCTAAAAATGGATTTTGGCAGGATATGTCCTCTTTAATGCTGAAAGATTTTTGCAGAAAAAAAGTTGTAAAACGGCCTAAAAAGTTGAAATTAGCAGAAAGGCAGCTGAAAGAGCACAACTTTGCTGAATTAAGCAAAGAGAAGCTGAATTTATCACACAAAAAGGTGGCTGAAAAAACTAAAATTAGTTAAAAATGGCTAAAAAGTAGCTGAAACTGCAGAAAACAGCTAAAAGAAGCATAAAAGGCTTAAATTAGCACAAAAAAGCTAAGAGAAGCACAAAATGTTTAAAGCAGCAGAAGAATATCAAAGGAGCAAGATAGCAGAAACAGCTTGATTTAGCACAAAGATGTACAAAAAAAGGCAGATCCAGAACAAAAGGTGTAAACTGCAGGAAAGGCTTAACTATTTTGAAGGATGTTGAAGACCGCTGTGTTCACTTTCAATTAGAACAAAAGCCAGGAAAGCTAAATATCTCTAAAGTAGAAATTGCTGAAAAAACAAAACTCACAGCCAGAATGTTCTGGAAGAGTTGAATGTTTTGATATATAAATTGTTGAAAAAGTGCAAAAATTGCAGGAGATACAAAGACAAATAGATGATCACAGCATTCATGTGATAATTCAGTATAAGAGTAAATGATCACATTGGTGTATTTGTGCAAAATATCTATACAGTAATTTAGAGCAGACATCAAAATTCGTGAGCCTCAATATATTGAGATATTTGTTACAAACTAATACACACTAATTATGTTCGAAAACACTCACTGTTCCTCAAAACAAATACAACCTCAAACTACTAAGAAGCCCATGTTGACTATATTCTTTGTAAAGCCAGCTTGAGAGCAAATCAAATGATAAATTACAGTACAACACTGTCATTTGCTAAATTTAAACTAGCTTTGATGACTTCTTGGAAGTCATAATTTTGTCATTATTACTATGCCATGTACAGTAGTCACACAAAAGACCCGTCAAACATCTACTTATTAGTACGCCAGCTTTTAATTCCCTCTTTTCTCTGATGTGATCAGATAATATCACGTTTTGGCTTCATGTTGCAGATTAGGTGTGGACATGCTAATTTTCTATACCATGAAAAAGAAAATGCAGAATTTCCATAAAGGTCATCTTCCAGTCACCAGTTGAACTGTATTCTGTGACAGTTAAATAAAAAAATAGCTGTAAGCCTAGAGGGCTCCCAGCAAATGATGCATAACATTATGCTTCTTCTAGCAGCCCTGACCTCTTTTGAACACTCTGTTCCTGTAGCCTAAGTGGAGGGAAGAAGAAATAACCTCAAAATTAAGACCAGGGTGTATGGAAACACCAACTGTCTCTCATGAATTATTCAGAGCAAGGCCTGGAAATTAAACAGGGAGTCTCCGTTTTATTTCTTTCTTTATTTAAGCTTTTATGGTGATTCACGCCGACTGTTTAAGCATTGAAATAGACTATGCCACTGCATGATGCATATTTAAAATCATCTGAAACAGATGATTTACCAAACTGCTTTATAAGCTTGCTGCGTTGCTAATTGCTCATGCTTTTTTTTTCTACTTTAAATGTAATGGATCTGCCAGAATTGCCTTAGGCTGCTTCTCCTGCTCCCTCACGTCTGCACAACAAACCACCAAAGGGAAGTGGTGTCATTAACACCAGATCAATGCTTTTAAATCAGCTTGACTTGGATTTTCACTTGTTCTGTCAGTGGTGTAATTGCTCTCTGACCTCTTTGGTGAAGTCTGTAATTTCCTAATCACACTGTGTCTGAAGTTGTATATGTTGCTTGTCTCCTCGAGTTTGCTGCGTGTGCACGTGGTCTGTAGCTGCTCCTGAAAACCCCCCGCATCCCCTGAGCGAAATGATTCTTAAGACGCATCTCTGCACAAATGAGCGTTATTACGTGTCATTCAGAGGCCAGAATAGATATCAAATTGCACGGTAGTCCAGCCAGAAGTTATTTTGACAGCTTTGGGTAAACCTCGTGGAAAAAGACAGGCTTTATGATTCAATCTCTGGGTTATTGTGTGGCTGTTGTGATGCATCGATAGACTGTGAAACTAACACTAGCAGCAAAATGTCACTCTTGCTATTCCTCGCTTCTGTCTAATGACGTGCCAGTGCACACGAGCTCATATTTAGAGAGCGCCTCAGGTTTCAATGTATTAACAATTGGCTGTTCGCTTTAGTCAGCAAAAGTAGAAGCTGTGTGAGTGGTTTGGAGAGGAGAATTTCACACTGAGAGTGATAATGAAATGTTCATTTGTGCAAAGACAAAACACTGGGAAGTCTCGACACAGCAGCTGGTTTTGCTCCTGATGCATGCAGGGATGTAGAGCGAAAAGGCTTTTGAATGAGTCTGAATTAAAAACATTTATTTTACCAGATGGACTCTAATTGTGACCTCTACACCTATACTGTATTACCATTTACCAGCTAATAGAAACATGAGGTTTTCTTAAGACAGAAAACTGCACCAAAAAAAGTACTATAAATATACATCCCTTTGAGACTTTTCCGATGGATCTTCCTCACCTGCAAAGGGGAAAAAAAAAACGTTAATTCAGCCGAGCATCAAGCATCCAGTGTGAATGTGAAACAAATTTTGACATGAATAGAGAAGAATAGACTATTGAAAAGCATTGTGGGTGCAGGTGCAGGTTACTGAGATCATTTGGAGGCAGGCCATTTTGAGAGGAGGCGCAGACGGTCGTCCTTACCTGCCTGCTCTCAACCCCTGAAGTAGAAGCTAAAAATAGAAAAATAAAAACCCAGATTTAAAAAAATGAATGAAAAGACCTGTACTCACTAATACAGCTCATTATAGAGGTTTCTTTGAAGCTAATTTAATTTAAATGTGTTGGTTTTACTTAAAAAGAAAGGAAAAAAGTCACGGTGCATATTTCCTCAGGTTGGTCTACAATCGCCCCTCCGATGCTCGCCTTCCTCTACTGCTTTGCTCAGATTGGACTCGAGTGGACTTCTCACCCGCCATGAGTCACCTTGACTTTGTGCCGGAGTGAGAATCCCTGCTACCGGACACCCGGAGCAACCGGCTGGCTCCAGCGCCTCGTCCTCACCAGCCGGAGCCTCCGTGGCCAACCTGGCTTCCGGCCACCAAAACGTGTCCGAAACTGTGGCTGAAGCTCAGCCGTTCTCCACAACCTGCAGGACTAACAACAAAACCTGTCTGCAAGCTGGAGCTCAGGGAGGATGTTCTTCTTGTACTTTCCAGGAACTAAAATGAGAACTGCTGCGTTTCATTTTATAGCAGTCTCGAGTACGCACATCAAATGATTTTTTTTATTCTAAGAAACCGTAAAAGAAAATGTGGGCCTTGAGTCTGTTTTGCTTGTATGATTCTGATAACAAATTGCTCAGTGGTGCGGTAAACTAGATAAATTTCATGTTTTCTGCCCACTTTTTAGCTTTCCACCAAAGCTGTTGCACATTTAGAGGCAGACTGTGGGACAGAACAGCAGAAATCTCTTATTTCCATTCGGTTTAGCAGAACTACACAAATAAAAGCACACGATTGAAAATAAAGGATGGAAAAATCTGAAATAAAAGAAACTATAGGTCCCTGTTTTGCTGTTGAAAATAAAGCATTTCATTAAACTTGTTTTCAAACTTTTTCATTTCTAGAGAACTTTCTGTCATTGTGTGTTTATCAGACTGGAGCATGAAAATCAAAGTGACATTATAAACTTTCACATCTGTCTCTAATAAATATAAAAAGAAGTCTTGATTTAATTTTCACTTTCAAGTACTGTGGGGTTCTTTGATTTGATGTGGCTGAACAGTGGGTAGATCTGTCACATCACAGCAAGAAGTTCTCCGGTTGAGGGAGGTCCCATTTTGTGTGTTCTTGTTCAGCACTCTGCTTTCCTTCCAAACTGACCTCATAAGGACTTATTTGATGACAGAAATGATCCTTTATGACTGTTGTTGTGGACCTGTTCAGGGTCAGCCTCCCTTTGGACGCTGGGCGATAATGAGCTGCAGTTTTTTTGTTTAATAACTTTCTATACTGACAGTAACACTGAACATCAGCTATTTGCCTGTGGTAATTTTTTTTTTAATTAAATAATTTGCCACCTGTCTTTAGAGACGGGTAGGAACCTGCTTCATTAAAATCATCCTAGTTTTTTTCCCCCCGCTTTCTTGAGTAGAGCGTGTGTGGCAAACATTCAGATCCAATATTTTTTTTGTGTGTGAGAGAGAATAAAGCTTTGAGAGGATTAAGTTGGGCATTAGTGAGTTTTATGTCAGAAGTGTTGTCCCTGAAACTCATCACTAACACATTCAGCGTCTGCCATTGTGTGTTCATAATGAGCTATTCTGTCTGCAAACAATTACAGCACGCTACATTTCTAAATGTGCTGTTCTGGCGAGTCTCGGCTCTTGTCATTAGCTGATGTCTTTCCTCAGGATCTGTGGCAGTAAGTTGGATCAGTGTGACAGTAGAGGGGGGTCATAAGGAATCTTCTTAAATGAGCACAAAACTGAGGTTTATCTGACATAAGAAGCTCAGCTGGTGAATATACCTGCTTGGGTTGCAGCTTCTTAGAGTCCTCGCTGTACCAGAAGAATGAAAACAACGGAAAAAAAAAAGGACCCATAGCACAATTCACTCCTCAGGGACAAGAGACGAGGTGAAGTATGTATAAAATATTTATTCTGAAGAGCACAATATGTCACATTTCATAACAAAGAGTTCCCATTGTGCTTGAAATAGTACATTTCTCACCACAGGACTTGTGAACATACAGGCATGTGCATAATACAAACATCAAATTGAAACATTTCTCTTTGTAAGGAATCGCAACGTTGCAGTGTAACTTGTGCATATGTACGTATCGGTTTCTGTGAGTAGAGTTTCCTCAGGCAGCTTTTCGCAGCTGACCACAAAAATAGAGCTTTGTTCAAATCATTTCAGAGCAATAATAGTTTGGGTATTAAAAGCTGCTTTTCTTTCTGCAGGCTGTGAGGTGGGGGAGGGAGGGAGTTTGGGAGAAAAATATGAAGGCACAAGTTTGCATGCTTCTGAGTAGCAATCAAAGATAATGACTTCAATAACGTTGACTGTTGATGAGTTAGTGCAGTAGCTTAAGGTTTTAAAAGTTTTTCTTTCATTTAGAAGTAAAGCGCGGCGCTACATATTGCTTTCAACAATCTGGATTTTAGAGTGCACTTCAGCCCGTTTTAGAATATTTATGGTCTTGAAACAGAAGCGTTGGATGATTCAAAGATTTGGGAAGCTTTGAAAGACAATCAGATATATTTTTAGACTGATTTCCCGCCTCCTGGTTCATTTAGAATCTAGCAAAACTTTACAAATTTACTTCAAATAAAACACAACACAAGAGGACAAAATAGTCTCAGGTAGGCTCGTTCAAAACGATAGTTGAGGTTACAATTTACAAATCTTAAATACTCCATTCATTTGTGTCACTGGTGAAAGGAAACATCGTATTCAGAGCTTCATAAGTTTAAAGAATACAATTTAACACTTGTTTTTAAAGTACAACAAAACATCTGATGCAAACTGAAAAATATGTTGTTGTTTTTTTCTTGAACAGAAACATTTCCTCTGGTTAAGATAAGCATTATTAATAATAATAAAAAAGGTCAGTGCAGGTGTGTTTTCATTGTGTGCAACATTCAAATATGTTCAGTTTTCACCATCGTAAAACATGACTCGAGGTCTCATTTAGACAATCTTACACAAAGTCCAACTGACTTTCTGACGTTTCTCGTTAACGATCACTTTGATCATAACAAAATACACAAACTCACAAAAACATTGACATTTTAATTCGAGAAAATAAACAAATCTCTTAGTTGGATGAGAATACGACACTAATGTAGATTATATTGATTCAATGCTGGATCAGGAGGGGGGGGTCCAGTACTGATCCTCGAGGGCCACCATCCTACAGGATTCTCTGCTCCAACACACCTGATTGGAATGAACGGGTGATTAGCAGGCTTCAGAATTTACAGGAATAATTCAGTCACTAAATCAGGTGTGTTGGAGCAGAGAAACATGTAAAAGGTGAGGTAGATTAACCTCTGAGGACCAGGACATCTCTGTGCTGAATGTGTGATGACTGAGCTCAGCCTAATGACAGGGAGTGAAGGGGATAGTTCTGCTCAAGGGTTACTTTGAGAGGGTTGCATAGTGAATTCCCAGTATTTCTTAGTAGGAAGAATTTATTTTTCAAGACTTATTTGACGCAAATAAAACAAATGTCATGTAGATAAAACTTCTAGGGTGGCCAAACATCTGCAAATCATACCAAATTAAATATTGAAGAACTGCAGCTATTGCAGGTGGTGGTTTTAAATGCATGTTAATCCTTACCAGGGAGGTTTGATCAGAAAAAAGCTCACAGTCATTTTAATAACTTGTGGAAATTTGTTTTCAGACGCGGTCAAATCTGTCTGTCAATCGCTCTATGTTTAGAGTCAAAAACTCAAACACATAGAAAAGAAAGCTATACTTAAACGCACAGTGTGTAGGATTTTGTCAATTCTTTTAGCCGAAATTGAAATAATCACTAATGACAATAATAAAAATCATGTCTCATTGCAGACAAAGACCTTGTTTTATTATTTTTATCTTATAAAAAGCTGTTTATATCTCCATGGTCGCGGGTCGTCACTACAGGCAGCCGCCATCTTGCACCGCCATCTTGTCTACGAAGGCTCATGAAGGACAAACTGCGGTGGCGGCATCAAAAACGGTTTTAGTTGTAATACTATAAATGTAATATTTGTTGTCTGTCATTGTAGCTGGGATAATTTTACTTATTAAAGCTCATAATCTTACCACTTGAAACATCACTAGCCCTGAAGCTGCTGGTAGACATCGCGGTTGGAATTATCAAAGGTTTTTGACACCTGAGAGACACCGTAGCTAATCCTTTGCGTTTGGAAGCAGGGGGTGGGGGTGGGGGGAGGACCAGGGAGGATGATTTAACCACTAGATGTCGCTGAAAACAACAAATCCTACACACTGTGCCTTTAAAGTAAAACATGGCGTTAGGTTCAGTTTATGTTCTGGGGCTGCTTTGCTGCATCTGATACACTGTCATGAATCTGTGCAATGTTTGTCTAATAAAATCTTACGACTAAAATCAAGGCATGGTGGAGTGAAATGTGCTGCCCGGTGTCAGAAAGATGGATAATGATATGAAAAACACACAAATAAAAATACTAAAAATGTGGTTAAGAATGTAGCATTGGGCTATCCTGAAGTGGCCTTCTAAGCCCTGATCTAAACCCAGTCTGCAGAAAAGATCCTTCAACATGAAAAGAGTATAAATTTGAGCATGCCTGTGTGTTAAACTGGAGGATTTTCTGCAGAAGTGAGAGTATGCATCATTCTATTACTAACTTTGTTTTGACTGGTGTTTTTGTCATTTAATATACTTCAGTTCCTGTTGCAGCAGCTGAATCTCTTCGCTCAAAATCAATAAAATGATTTCCGTAATAACACTTAAAGCTAGCTCCCTCTCGCCCTTAGAAGGGAGCAAATAAATAAATAAATGCCTCCAGAGCCTTACAAGTGGCTTTCACCCAGATGTGTGTGGATCATTTTTGAAAAAAAAAAAAAAAGCTGAGCTCACATTTCTGTCGCTCTGCAGTTCGGGCTCAGGCAGGCAGCTCGTTTGTGTGAAAAGGCCCAGATTTCTGCAGTCTGTGTCGAAAAAACAAAATTACCGTGGTATTAATCTTCCTATCTTCCGTGATGACATGCTGCACTAAGTCAAAATAGAACCCGAAAAGGGGGTTTAAAACTTAACACGCATCTGATACAGTACTTTGAAAACTGCAGGTGCTGTATCTTCTCTCTGCTGACTGAAGCCCAGGAGCCATGTTAGAGCCTCAAAACCCCCATAAAGGAGTCGGTTTAATAACAGAACATCTTGTTTTATTATTATTTTTATTCATCTGGCATGCAGAACCATAACGCTTAAAGACTGTCGTCCCTGTTTGATTTTTTTTGGTAATAAGCAGAACAGTAAATGCTTACTACAAAAGAAATAAAAAATAGGGATTACAAAACATTTTTTTTTCCTTTTTGTGCTGCAATAAACTCGAAACTGTTACTAGGTGTGGGTGAGAGTGTGAATGGTTGTGATTTGGTTGTCTCTAAGCATCCCTTTGATGGACTTGCAACCTGTCCAGGGTGTCCCTGTCTCTCACACAGTGACTCCTGGACCCAGAGAGGAAAATCAAGTAAAGATGACGGGTCTACTGTAAAAAACAAAACTTTGTAAGGATTTTAAATGTTGAATAATAACAACAAAAAAAAGCAACACCAGAAAAATGAAATGTTCATTAATGATACGTTTGTATGAAAAAGTCTTAAAGTGTTGAAAATAAAAGGCTGATTTTGTTTCATGTGTAAGTTTTTTTCCCCCTATTTCATATTCTTTTCTTCAGCAAAGTGACTAAAACCCTCAGTGATGTGATTTGGCCTCTTTTCTCCCCTCCCGATTCAAATCACACGAGCGGCATCTTTAAAAGCTAAGTGTGGTTTGAGAGGCCACGGCCAACATTTCTGTGCTGCTTCTGTCTCGATATTAAAATTCTCATGATAGCAGACCCAGAAAGAACCACAAACACTGGCTCCAAACCAAACAGGTTCTCACTTCAGTGATTTATGCGAGCTGAATGTTTAATGGCTATAAAGGCAACAGAGCCTCAGCGTGTTTTTCCACTCAGCTGTGTCCATTTTAGCTTTTGTTATCCACATGAACAATAAATATTACAGAGCAATGATTTCTCCTTCACTGTTGGATAAAAGAATGGTTTCACATGTTGATGCTGATTTAACAAAACTGCTGATTTAACAAAAGTAAATCCTAAACCCCCCTTAGAGTTCTTGTCCACAATTATTTGTTTTAAGTGTTGATATCTGTGATATGTTTGAGTTCATTTAGTCAGGCGTTTGCCTGCCTAAAACAGCAGAATAAAAAAAATTGACAGTATTATACATAATTGAATGGTATTCTTTTAATCAGGACACCAATTAATGATTTAGATAAAAAAAATCACTTATACAGGTAAATGTGTTGCTTATATATTGCTTAAAACCAGAACTCTTGATTCTGAATTGTTTCATATTTGATGCAAATTTTTCTCTCAACATGTGTCTTAATTGCTACCAAACTACCTCTTTTTATTCTTTTCTGTCATCAAAATAGATTTAATTTTGTAGAATTTTATACTAAAAATAAATTATAGTCCATCCATTTACAGATATTCACTTTGCTTAACCTTTTAATTTAGCTGAACTCATAATTCACCAACAAAATGGGTGCAATAAAATAATCTAATAGGGTTAAAAGGTTTCAACTCAAATGATATGTCTTGATATTCTACCGAATAACTTATCTTGTAGATGCGGACGCATGCAGCTTGTTTACGTGTGAAGTCAGTTGCAAGTTAATCCTGTGTAAAGATAGTCAAATTGTCCATTAAAGTAGCAAATCGTGTTTCCAGACAAAATTGCTATTTTTATTATAATACAGGCATCTAGGAAACTTTGTGTTTTAGTCGTTAAATGTGGTGATAGTTGTAGTAGGGTTACTGTAAAACAATAAAATAACAATAAACTTATTAAGAATAACCATTCAGTTTCCTATTGTTATGTAGAGGAAATTTGTATTTGATGGTGCAATATGGTCTTAGTTCATGCCATTAACCCGGATTTTGTGATATATACATGATTGTTTCAAGCATTAAATATAAATATGCAAGTAAATGTAATGTAAACATGCAATATCAGTGACAGACAGGCTCAAATAAGGCTCTTTATTTTATTTAATTATACTTTTTTATAATCAAGATGAACCTGTTTTGCTTGTAGTTTATTAGTTTTACTGCAGTATTTGCTTTGCAGTTTGCTAAAGTTTGCCCTAACGGACCATAAAATTAGCATAGCTTCTTTTTTATATGGTAATGCTTGAAAAAGTCATATTTTTTAAAACTTTATTAATTAATTTATTTTTAGTGAAAAGCTGATTAAAGTTTTGTCAGAAATAAGCATGTGTACCAAAACAGTAGGTCCATATTGCACTACTGAAAATCTATAAATGTTTGGCCAAATCAAACAAAAACAGGACTTTAGAAAACACAAAAAAATGAACCAAGGAGATGCTTAAAAATTATAGGAGAGGGTTACTTTTTTAAAATCATGCAAAATCATTCTGTTGGAGTTCCAGAATAAAAGCTGAGTAAACATGAAAAGAGAAACATTAAATCATGCATGGTGGCAGCTGGTTTGAATTGTTTAAAAAATTGTGAGGGACATTTAAAACAAAAGTTATTACTTAACCAGATGCAGATGACTCAATTGTCTTAATTTATGTTGTGAGACTGTATTTTAGTGAAATATAAATATATATATTTTTATGTGAACCAGCATTTCTCGTTGTGTTCATGAGAGTTTAAAAGAAGGTACAACACAGAGCTATAATCAGTACCATCGTTTGCATAATCAAATTTTGAAATCCATCACCAAAGCTAAAATAGCACAACTTCCACACAATACCATATGATGCATGTGGTGACTGTGGACACAGATGTAATTAAGAAATTTTAGACTTCAGAAAAGATTGATAACTTCCTCGCTGCTGCCTCACTAGTTAACATTTAAATTCATTTTCCATCGAGCACATCTATTAGCGGTTTATGGTAATTACATTGTAAGCGCCACTCAAACATGTTTTGGAAATCAGATTGCCTGACCAGAGTTATCTGTTGTTTAATTCATAATGATCCCAGCAGATTTGAATGAGAGATGGGTTTGAGAAAATGACTCTCCGATAGTCTTAACATCTGCAAAGTCTGTTCTTTCCCCCACTGTTGGTGTGAAATGATGCAAATGACTCGCTGTGCGGCCTCAATTCATCAAAAATACGCCCCATCTGCAAGAAGTACACATCTATTTTATATGACATGCAAAGAATCTCATACGAATGATTCAATAATAAACCAGTGGGTCATGCTGCCTCCATTGGGGCCTCACAACAGATATGATTCTGCTGTAAGCTCCACAGCTGAGATCAAATCAAACAGAGCAAAATATTTTTCCAACACAGCGCAGTGGAAAAATAAACTATGTACAAACCTAAATCTATCTTTTGTTACATAACCTTCAAGTCTTCAGTGCTACAATGCCATAATCTTGGCTCTGACCTTGAACTGTCCACGGTTCTACGTTAACCAGCAGCAGGCACACCTTATTTTGAAGGCTAGTGGCTCTGACAGACCACATCCACACCTAACATTTGAGGGTGTGCAGCCTCAGCTATCCTAGCAATCTCAGCATTACTGGATTCCAGCTGAGTTCAGGGATCACTGTTACCTGATGATGCTTCTATCCTTCAAGAGAAAATGTCCTCTTTGTCCAGTTCTGGTGTACCAGGCCTAGAAATGTCAAACAGAGGCTGCGGAGAGCCAGTGCTCGATTTCCTGCCTTTGAGGAGTTTAAGTGCTTCTGCAAGTTGCGCCTCGAGGCTAGACATTCGAACGTTCAAGTTCTTGAGATCATCCTTCAGCTCCAGTTTGAGCTCCTGAAGGGATGCCTGAAGTGTTTGCTCTGGGATGGGGTAGAAGGCATGCCTGGTTTCTGGAGGCTGGGCAGGACTACGGTCCTGGGGAGTCATACGAAACTCGCCCACTTTGTCCAGACGTAGGTCACTTTTGGTGATGCCGCTGTCACACGAGTCCGTCTTCTTTAGAGACGTCTGTGACTCGTGCGCTGTGGTCCGCTCGGGTAAAGTCTCCATGGATTCAGCTTTGGACACTTTGTTCCAGTTGTCAGCTTTAGCCATCGACTCCTTGAAGCGACCCCAGCCTTTGACTTTGACCGGCTCAGCAGGCCGACACCCTGCCAGAGAAATGGGGGAGGGCACCTGAAGCTTTGCTGTATCTGAGGGGGGGCAGTTGGGAGGTGATGAAGGTGAAGTGACTGATGAGGAAGGTGTTGCAGGGCTTTCTGTTACTGTGACAATGCTGGTAGTTGTAATGGCTGCTTTAGCCATCGGGATGTCCACATAGACCGGGCCCTTCTCCACATCTTGTATATCGGGGTCCGGTTGCTTGGTCGCCATGCGGGCTTCCTTCTGCTGCCGGAAACGCTGGAAGAGTTTTCGGACGGGGTGATCTGGTGGCAAGTTCAAAGGGGCTTCGTTTTTACGCCGTTGTCGCTCTTCTTCTTCACGTTTGACATCACTAATTTTCCGGAAGACAATCTACAAAGGAATTTAGAATTCTTACGATTAGGATAATAGCCATCAAACAGTATCAGTATTTGACAGCATGCAGGAAAATGGTACTTAAAGACGACTTCTCGAAGTCAATTCACCCTCCTAAAGGGTGATTTCTTTTGCACGTGGAGTTGTGTGAGGTATGTAAGAATCGTACATGTATTGCACACAATTAGGACTGTATTACATGGACTGCAAACAGATCTGCAAATAACCATCTGATGCAAAAGCAATGTAATGTATAACTTTAAAATATAGTTCCCTTAAACCACTAAAAAACTAGCTGCTTTTTAAAGCTTTAATTATTTAACACAAAACCACTTAAAATGAACTAAACTATTATCTTAAACTGAACAAAAGTAGTTCTAGGGTCTATCCATCTAACATTTGTGCATGGAAGACTGTCAAGACTTGAAAATGTGTGTTCTTTGTAAATGCCACATTTAAAAAGGCTATTCCCTGAACACACTGAAAGTTCACGTCAAGCCTCTGGCTTCAGAGGTTGAAGACACACAATTTGCTTCCCACCCAGCTGCTGCTAATGGGTAATTTTCAATTTCGAGCAAAACACATTAAAAACACATCAATATTTTGTTCATAATTTTGTCATATTCACAAGCATGCCTTTAAGTCAAACCTCGTGGAAACTAGTTGCGGAAAAATAATACTTTTAGGCATGGCTGATAATTTTCTTGAAAATAGTCAACTCAACATTTGTTTATTGGATTTCTTTTTAGCTTTCAAGTTCAGCCATTAAGCACATGATGTAGTGTTTATTATGCATAATAAAACAATAAGTCTCAAGGCGTTATAGATTAAGAAATCTGCTGTGAATAAAGGCACATCAATCTAAGAAAATGAAAGCACTAATAAATGTATAGCTGAAAGTGAAAGCTATGGGAATGCTACAGTTTGGAAAAAAACAACTGTTGATATAAAATGTCTTGTTGCCAGGCCTGAAGATGACGTGAATAACACTGAGGCATTCATCACTTGTGAAAAAGGCTGTTTCTCTTTTTGTCTCTTAGCTACAGTATTGTCTTAACTTAGACCTCTGTGATGCACATTGTCTATTAAAAACTCAATCACACAAGCACTATATGAACGCTGTCTCTAGCTTGATCCAATTTTAGATTTCCCTGCTGTGTACATTTAGGAAATATGGGACATTGGTATATAATGACTTTAATCCAGCAGAAGACACTCTGTTAAATGCAGATGTTTAAGGCTTGCTTTTTTTCTCTTGGACATGCTGACAGACACTTGTCAGGCTGATCACAGCTGTTCTGACAAAAGGACATGGGAGCGGCTTTAATGCACTGAATTGTGTATTCATACTGTATATAGTGCAATCTGCAATTTATTTTAAGGATTTAGCTTAATGTATTTATTCATAAATTTTCATCATTTCCAAAACATAATAGGGCACATAAGGAGAAATAAAACACACTTTTAATCTTTCAGTTCTTGATTTTGTTTTTGTCCTGATGCATCTCAATAAACTGGGTAGAAAAATCTAAAAAAAAAATAATTACCCTCAGACTGAAAAAGTCTCTTGAAGAAGAGACAAAACATTTTTTTCAACAAAGAACTCCAACCTATTTAACTTTTTTAGGTTGATTTTCTTATTATATTAATATATATATATATATATATATATATATAGTCATTTTATTGATATATTTATATGGTAAATGGACTGTACTTATATAGTGCTTTTTTATCCATCCAGGACACTCAAAGCACTTCAGTCTGTGCCCTCATTTACCCATTCACACAGCACTCTGTTAGGTCTCTACAAAGCTAACATATACAATCAGCTACGGAGACTAATCAGTGCCAATCACATTCATACACTGATGGGACACACATCAGAGGCATTAGGGGTAAAGTGTCTTACCCAAGGACACAACAACTGAGACAGCTGGACAGGGGATCGAACCAGCGACCTTCCAGTTCCAGGACGACTCCCCTAACCACTCTGCCACAGCTGCCCGAATATAAAATATTACCATTTACCTATAGCTATATATTTCCTTCAATAGTTTGTTCTATGTACAGCAGTTTTATTTGTGAGCGATAAAGCTCTAGCTAAATTCAGTTAAAGGGGCAATATCATGTAAAGTCAACTTTTTGAGTTTTATATCATGTTATAATGTTATACTCTCATAAAAAAACATGCCCAAAGCCTTGCTTTGACTCATTCATGCATGTTTGAGAAATCCTGCAGCGTTTTTAGGCAGCCATGCTGAGGAGCAAAACGACAGGTTGGGACCAGAAACACCTTTTGGGACCAGAAACGCTCCTGGGACGTGTCTTTAAGCCGAACGTCCTCATGGCGGAGCACACCTCCCCACCCCACACCCCACACACCCCGTCCATGACTCCTGCAGGCTCTCGGGTGAAAGTGAAACTTAAACTGTCTGCTGAGCTCTCAACATTAGTTCTCACTCAGTGAAGCCCTTTTCAGATTAAAAATACCTTTGAGGAAATGTATTTTCAGATGCCAAGTAAACTGTATCATAACAGCCCCCTCCCTCCCCCTCGCGAACCCCCCTGCGACAGAAGCAAAGGTGGTTCTTAAAGAGACAGAGGCCAATTTCAAGGCATTTAGAAGAGGAAGTGATGATAAGTTTATTTTCTATTTAAACATAAAAACAGCATTTTAATAATAACTAAAGGTAACATAGAAACTTTATTTTGGTATAGTATTTAAATGTATGCCTGAGAAACACATAATATTGGTCCTTTAAATATGGAAATGTCACAACACTATTATCACCACTGCTGTTTATCTATCAACAAGTAAACAAATTAAAGAAGTTCTTAAAAAAGAAACTTCATTTCATAATCGATGCAGTAAAACTTTCACACATACAGTAAAACTTCTCTGCAAGTGTACAGTAAGTTCTTGTACTCTGCTAAGTAAGGTAACCAATGTGCCGCATAACCTTAAAAGCAAGGTGAAACTTTGTGCCATGATTTTCTTTTTGCAATAAATAGGAAATGCACATTTTAATTAACACTGAATATTGCGGTTACATATATTTTTTCTTGTTGCTTTCAAGGGGAAGGAAATCTACCTAAATGTGAGAAAATGCATTGTGTTTGAAAAGGAAACACTTCTGTTTCATATCCACTGCTGCTTCTCACCCTAGTTAGGTTTTAATATGCCTACTTTAGTATGCCTGCTTTAGATCTTTAATACAGCAGTAATGTTTGATTTTCTGAGAAAATGTAGAGTTGTGTAGTTCTGGTCTTCTCAGAGCCACCAGCTAATTATTCCTTTTTTCTGCCTCAGAGTTTCATCCTCCTGAGCCGTTTGTTCTGAAAGCCTTCGACAGCACTGTGTGCGTTAAGTCTCTCTGTGTTGAGGCAAACATAGTTCTAGGTTAACCTCCACCTGATCTTATTTTAAACGATTTTTCCACAGAAAGAAAATCTGAACTAAAGCCTAAACCAATCAGATTTTTCTAAAGTGAAGCAGAAGCGCTTCAAATTACTTTTTATATTCTGGTCTGACTTTGTGATTGGTCAACTGCAGCAGCCAGGGGTTTCCTGAGGCTGTGCGGTGTAGTTGCTGAAATGCAAAATTGAATTACAGATTCAAATGGTGACCTCGCAAAATCATTTCCAACCGTAAGAATCCGTTTCATTCAGCTCAGTAAAACAGCCTCAACTGCTGTTTTGCTGCTGCTCTCTTTCTACTTCGTTTCTTTGTACTTGAATGGCGGCTTCTAAACTTTATACCGTCTCCTCGCTGTTCAGTCCCGCTTTGTGTGTCCTCCCAACTCAAGCAAAGCTGCCACCCAGGAGATTCTGTCCCCCCCCACCTCCACACAACAGATACAAAGCTGTGAGTCTGGAACAGAGTGTGACACACATGACTACATGAATAATAATCATTTTAAAAAGACACCAGGCTGAAACTAGCAAAGTGCTAATCAGCTGAGTCTTTTCTCTTGTTCTGGAACTTCCTTTTTTTTTTCAGCAAATTGCACACCATATTTTCCTCTCTTGCTGGCAGAGTGTCTGCCTCGTCATAAAAGCATCTGGGCCTCCTTCAAGCTGCAGAGTGGTGGGAGTGAAATGAACGCAAGCCGTAGAAAGGAGAAATCCCAGAATAATAGATGAGGCAAAAGTATGAAGGGACATCTAAGCCAAGTTATGATGCAACGGTAGCGTTTTCTCTGCTAAGATGAGCACAGAAAAGTTTGTAGCTGAATTGATTAGATGCACAAAGAAAGATTTAGATGCTTTTGTTGTTCTTACCTCATTGGCATTCAGTATCCAGCATTGTTTTGTTAAATCACTGTTTTTTTTTCCTTTCCCGGTGCTGGCTCTTTTCTATCTGCACCTGTGGCTGCCTAAAGAAAAAGTCTGATCTGTGTTGTATTTTTAGTCCCTTATGGAGGTACACCCACTAAAACTGTTAGCCAAGAGAAAGAACACCAACTGTGCTGGTGTTAGAGACACCATATTATACTGACGCACATATTTAAGCTAAACGCCCTCTGAAATTAAGATTTCCCTTTAGAAATGAATGCTAGGGATTCATTTATAGTAGTTTTTTCTTGTCTGTTGTATTAAAACTGTTTCATCCTTACTTGGCCCAAAACACATTCTGAATGTTTAAATTTCCTTTATAAAAATTATGGTTTAGTAAACTCATTTTGAAAGCAACAGTTTGTGTTAATGTTAACAGTTTAGGGTCAGTGTGAAGGTTACTAAACATGTTTTCATTGTTATAATAAAGAAAAGCCAAACTGTGATGTGTGTGGAGGAAAACTTACTTTCACTTCAAGGTTAACATTAAGGTCATGTTGACTTTAAAACAACTTATTTCTGCAGCTGTTTAGTGTCTTTAGTCATATTTATCTGCAGTTGCCAAGAAATGCACACAAAACGTTAGTGTTTTTTTTTTTGTTGTTTATGGTGAGTGTAAATTTTTAGCAAACCATTTCTGCATATTTTGTGCTACTTTCACAGTTTGCTGTAACTTTTAAACTGTTTACAAAAAATGTATCAAATTGCAATGACATATCTTTGATTCCTTCAAAAGTATTGTTCTCTATACTCTATTTCAGCATATTTGCTCATTTTTAATTCTCATATTCCTTTTAGCTACTATTTTGCTGCATTTAACTTTCCCGTTTTGTTCATTTTATTTTTAAGCAACAGTTTTTCCCTATTTTAAGCTTTAATAAATATTTCATAAATTATAGCTTTTAGATACTTTTATCTCATTTTTGCTTTTAAAACTGTTTTTAATGTAGCTTTTAGCTACTCTATTGCTAATTTTAGCTTCTTTCTTGCTTGTGTCATCTGTTCTCCTGTCTTCAACAAAACATCAACATTCCCATTGCATTGTCGCAGAAAATGTAATTTCTTTATATTATATCTACATTTTTTCTTATTTAATCTGATATATTGTTTTTAAAGAAGCTAGCAGTTTTCAGTCTAAGCTTATATCTGAATATGAAAACAACAGAATGAATTTCAACTGCAGGCATGAATAAATGATTGGTTCCTTCTTGATGCCATCTGTGGAGTCACTCACCCTCTTCCGCAGGTTGTAAGTGAGCAGCAGGTTTCTGGAGAAGTGGTTGGCGAACGCCGTGTAGAACTCCAGCACCTTCTGCAGAGCGTCACGCTTAATGACGTGGAGGTCGCAGTAGGTCAGCGCTCTGACGTTGGCGCAGGCCTGAGCCAGAGTCACCTCCTTCCAGAAAACGTCCCCGAACACGTCTCCCTTACCTGCAGAGAGGGGAGGAGGTGCGTTCAAACCTGCCGGTTCTCCATAACGCTCACACAGATAAAGGTCTTCTTCCTCAATTTCCCTCTAAGACACCATGTTTTCAAAGGGCTTCTAAAATGATTCATGAATAATTTATTCAAGTTTTAAAAAAATCACTTCTACATATTTTATGAGAACAAATTCCATGTTGACAGGTTTTGGAGGCTTTTTCCTGAGTAAAAGTTGGTGTTTTTTTTTTAATTTTTATTCAGCTCCCATTTCTTGTTTTTCTCACCTTTATTAAACTAAGTAATGTTCATTTTTTTCCCCACGAGTGAGATTTACAATCACTATTCAGACTTTATTCCACAGTATAAAATGACTAAATTATAGGGTGCTGTAATCTCATGTGTTTAAACATGATAAATAAATGATTGTAGATGCTTAAAAATGTCAAAGTTAATGTTTCAGCTGTCAGGAAATAATGATAAGAAGCTTAGCGGTTAAATGTTTGTATTATTAAAGATTATTTTTATGCATTCTGATCTTCAATACACTAAAGTAAAAATGTAAAAAGCAATCATACACTGCCAGAGCTCACCTCAGAAAAGAGTAAAGAATATTGATTTGAACTAGTTATTATTTATTTATTTTGATTGTCTGGACACTTGTCAGACTTATGACCGAGGGTTATTTGCGCTTCATATTTTGTTAAAAGTTTTCATAAATGAAATGGGTTTTAAATTTAGTTAATAAAAACAAATGTTTATGAAGGTTTATAAGCTGTTTACTTATATCTGTTTGTTAATAATTACATTAAAAATGCTTGTACTAACATCTTCCTCTCAGCCTGTGGAACATCATGTTCCAGTATAACACATATGAACTTTTTACTTTAACCCACAAGCATAAAATGAATATTCAGCCTTTTTTCTTCCAACCATAAACAGAATTACATATTCAACCATTTCTTATTAAATAATCCCCTCGTGCACTGAAATGGCATAGCTGTAACTCTTCATCTTTTCTTCATTTAATGTTTACAGATCCATAAGTATGCAAACAGCCTGTCCTCCCGCTCCACCACATTCTCATCATCATCTTCTCTCAAATACTATCGACGTTTCAGTTGGTTATCAAACAGATAATAACGTGCTGCTGATGTTGGATAAAACTGACTGCTTGTTTTGTCCTCATGCAGAAACATGACAAGGACACGCAAACAAGATTAGAACTTTGACTTTCATCCGAGGGAAGGTTAAATGAAAAAGGAACAAAAGAAAAACAAACATTTTTTACAACATTGAAAGCTGAGAGTTGCTCATACTGTATGACTTGTTTGGTTTTTAATATAGAATGAGTTATTAGTCACAATAAATTCAAATTAAAGGAGGGTATTATTTAATTTCCAGGCACATTGTTCAGTTCTGTTCCACAATCAAGTAACTACGTTACCTTCAGTTGTTATAAAAATGGTCAAAGATAAATTAGACTTTGTATCATAGCCTATCTAAACACCTTGTTTTTGTCCTCTGTCTCTTTAAGAACCTCTTACCATTTCTGACAATCCCACTTCAGTGCATTAAAATAATGCCTCAGGGGAGGGGTGCTCTGTGGGATGGGAGCTCAGTTGGGAACTGAGCTTCAGGGAGGAGCTTTGTGTAAATAGGCGGTGCTTTGTAAGAGCAAGCATTTAGGCAGCTCCACATGTCTACCACAGGAAATTCAAGGATTTCTCAAACATGCATGAATGAGTAAAAGCAACAGTCTGGGTGTGTTTTTGATGAGGGAATGACATTATAACTGCTCAAAAACATTGCTTTTGCAAAAAGCCTGTCCACCCTGTTACCCTTCCTTTCAGCATGTGTGGTATGATAAAAAAATAAAAATTGGATATGGCAACAAAACAACATTCAATGTAGGAAAACAGAAAACAATGGTAGTAGAAAATAAAACAAGGTGGGAGACAGGGTAGGAAAACAAGACAAAAGCAAGCAGTACGCTCTGACAAAACGGAAAAAAAATCTGTATATCTAAAAAAAACAAATTAAGGTCGCCCGCTAACAGAGTCCAGAAGCTAATGCTAAAATTTTGCACAAAAAACTGTGATTTGTTAGCACTCAAAGTATGTGTTCGAATGATTCTCAGTTAATTTCAGCTTGATTTGAGACACTGAGTTTTGCCATGTTTAACTAGCTTGACTTTAATTTATTTCAAAAGGTAAAGTTCATCAATGGTGTACATGACATGAGCACAAGAGAACTAAAACACCAAGAAGCACAATCAGAGTGAACAACATCAAGTTTGACATATGTCAATGTCAATTTATTTATGTAGCACATAAATAAATATAAGTCGACCAAAGTGCTTCACAATTCAGCCAAATAAATGAATAAAACAACAAAGCTACACAAAAATGTTAGAAATAAGATCACTTTAAAATAAAGAAATACAACGATTAAAACACTGGCTTTAAAAGGATCTCAAACTCTACCAGAACGAAGAGCCAATGAGTAAATATGAGTTTTAAGCATAGATTTAACAGTCTCAGCAGTCTGAACGCAAAAAGGTAAGCCAATCTAAAGGTTTGAGGCAGAAACTGCAATAAACCCATCACCTCTAAATTTTAGCCTAGATCTAGGAGCATCTAAGGCAGGGGTCTCCAACCTTTATCTCCTTAAGAGCTACTTTCACAAAATGAAATTGTCCGAGAGCTACTTTTTGCAACATTAAAATTAAATTTAAACCATTGGAATAAGCTTGTTTTGCACAAAAAAAAATTGTCTTCAGTTCACATGAAACTATCACAAAATACACTGAATTCACACTTCTTTTTGTGTTTATCCATTCATATTAGCTTAGGGTTTAACTGCAACAGATTTGTGCACAAATTACATTGGGTGACAGGTCTTCGATTTTTTTTCTGCGTTGTACACTCCAGCAGGAAGAAACCCCCTGTAATGATATATACTGCAGTTGGAGAGGTTTCTCAGGAGTTTGGCACAGTGTGTCTCAAGGGGCTATAAAAGGTGTGTGCAAAAATGAATGCCGAACAACCACGTATTGTGTGTTGTCTGCCGATCGACCATATTGAGCCCTAAACTGTTTGACTGACAACCAAGGGGAAGGGACATCTATAGATTGATTGGAATTAAATTAAAGTTTGTTTGATCAGTGACAAATAAAATTTTGCTTCGCCTGGTTTTTCACAAGCACTGAAGAGCTACTCTGAGCTCAGGAGCTACTGGTTGGAGACTCCTGATCTAAGGGAAACTGGTTGGATGGCCAATGTGCTCTAACTGAAGTATGGATGTTAATGAGATGACACACACACACACACACACACACACACACACACACACACACACACACACACACACACACACACACAC